TAGAATTTAACTTTTTAAGTATATATATATATAGATTTGTTATACTCGCCGTTGATCGATGATGTACGACTTTCGTCCGATTATTTACGCTAATTTATTCACATAAATATATATATATATATACATGTATACTTACATGTAAATATATATATACATTTCGTTTGTTTTTTCTTTTATTTTTTTTCTCACATTTAATTTAATCATATTTTCTCTTTCTCTCTTTTTCCTGTGAAAATATATTGAAAATACGCACCTATAGTTTAAAATTATTTATTATTCATAATAATATCGCGCAATATATAATTTAGAATTATTTGAAAATAATATGCACTTTAATTGATCAAACGAAAAGTTTCCTATACAATTTTGGTACTTTTTTATGGTGAAAAATAACAAAAAAAAATCGTATAATATCAATTGCGTGTTCTTTCTCTCTCTATATATATATTATCGATTTAATTTTTCAATTAACTATATTTTCTTTTTAAACAAAGATCTTTTAAACGATAAATGATAAATATCATTAACAAATACAAGTATTTCGAAATGAAAAAATATATTCTCAACGTCTTGTTTGTTGTTCACATTCGAGAATTACAAATTTGTAACTTTCCAAAGTGATATCGATAGAATAAACACTTGTTTTTAAATTCGAAACCAAAAAATTATTGGGAAAAAAAGAGAAAGAGTGGAGAGAAATGAATCAAAATTTAAAGAACAAAAAAATAGAGGAAGAAAAAAGAAACGACGAACGGGCGAATTGTCATTTTGATTTAAATAAGGACAAAATAATCTTGTATCTCAACTATTACCTTCGCAATCAATTGTTCATCATTATTTTAGCCCCCCGATAGAATTCAACAACAACAACAACCAATCAAGCAACCCAACCCAATCCAATCAACCCTTAACCAAACACCAAGCCTACTTCGTAAACCTTTTTAACATCTCGTCAATAATATTCACAATCCTTTATAATTCCTTTCCTGTTTCTTCTTACGTCCTTGATCAGATCCTGGCACACAATACTATGTTCTTTTGTGCGATTCTAACAGGCACCGGATATGGATCTTCGAGCCTAGCGAGTGTTCCTGCTGCACCAGGAACTAACGACAGCTACACTGGGGGTGGACCCCAAAGGGGTTACTCAGGAACCTCGTCCAGCTTCAACAATTACCATCCCTATCGTCGCTAAAAAGGATAAGAGACACACAATATGCCTCGCTTTTTGAGAAATCAACATTTTCTTCTTTTATTCTTCTTCTTCTTCTACTTCTTCTTCTACTTCTTCTTCTGCTTCTACTACATCTACTACTACTACTACTACTACTACTACTATCATTATTATCAAGTTCACAAATTACTACTACTACTACTACTACTACTGCTGTCACTGCTTCTAAGCTTTTTTTCTTGATCGAATGATCGTTAATAATTAGCGTAATACTATGGATAACGGTATACGCTGAAAAAGAAAGAAACACACGTATATTTTGCTTTTTGAAAATACCGAGAGAAAAAAATTAAGTGAGAAGGAGAAAAACAAATAGACACCACGACCTTTTTTTTTTGTGTATGATCGTACTTGTTATTTTCTTCACGCTCTTCTTCTTCTTATGGGGAGGGGAAAATGAGATTCGAATATTATTTTTTTTTCACCGACACACTGAGGAAATATTTAAGAGAGAATTTTAACTTTGATTTTTCTGGAAAAACGGTCGTCGTCTTCCACGTGCGTACCTATCATCACACTTTCTTTTTTTTCTTTTTCTTAATTTCAAAATACAATCTTTATCATCGTAATTTCTATCTCGATGATATTTGATACACACGGAACGAAACAACACAACAACCATCATCGCATTTTTCTTCATAGAAATTAATATGATTTCTGTTCTCTTTTAAATGGAAGAATGGAGAAAGATAAAAAACAAAACAAATTAATTCTCCATGGAAAAATGGCAAATCCATGAGAAATAAATCTCTTTGATAATCAACGATGAGAAGAAATGAAACAGATATATATATAGACAATGAAGAAAAGGTACTTAGATAAATATCAGAAGGAAAAGTGTTGTGTGTGTTATATAGACAATTTTTATAATAAATTAAATGAAAGATTCTTTGAAAAAAGAAAAAGAGATAATTGAAAAGACAAAAATGTCGAGAAGAAAATATCGAACTCGAACTCTTTCTAAACCCCCCACTCTTGGCCTCTACCCCCACTCTTAATCATTATTCCCACTCTTGGTCTCTATCCCCACTCTTAGCCACTACTTTCACTCTTGGTATCTACCCCCACTCTTAGCCACTACTTTCATTCTTGGTATCTACCCCCACTCTTAACAATTACTCCCACGCTTGGTCTCCATCCCCACTCTTAGCCACTACTTTCACTCTTAGTCTCTACCCCCACTCTTAGCGACTGCCCCCACTCTTGGTCTCTATCCCCACTCTTAGCCACT